CCCTTTATGTAGAGGGTATACATTGTAAACAAGATGGTACCGCTATGTAATATCGCATTTATTTATTTAATTTCAATTCACAGGCACTGGACTACTTGGCAATTGGTATTCATGAAATTGCTAATATGAGCGAACGTAGAATAAATAGAATGTGTAACCGAAGTAAGTGTATAATCCTTGCATAGCACGCCATTGTGTTTGCTGAATGGATTACAACGTATTAACCTCGAATCAATTTCTATATTATTTTTACAGACTACACGCCAGACGAGATTCCTGCATTTCTGGTCAAAGATAGTGGTCTGAATTCGGGTTTTATGATCGCTCATTGTACTGCTGCGGCTTTAGGTAGGTTGTTGGACAAAAACACCGAAGAAGATAATCCCAACATATTCCATTCTACGATTTCGTGCAAGTTAAAAATGTGCAATGGTATTACTTTACACGTGACTAAAACGGAAGAATTTAATATTAATAAACAAATCAAATATGGTTATGATTTCATTTAGTGTCTGAAAATAAAGTGTTGACGCATCCATCGTCCGTGGATTCCATCTCAACCAGTGCTGGGTCCGAAGACCACGTATCAATGGGTGGATTCTCTGCAAGAAAGGCGCTGACCGTGGTAGAACACGTGGAACAAGGTATGTACATATTTACATTAATTTGACATTGTATGTATCATGCCGTTTATTCGGCGATGTTTACATGTTATGTTTTTGTTCCGCTCAGGGTGTTTGAACAGCTCCGACAATTATAGTACCGTGGTCGTCACTTCACGTCGTATTCAATATAGGTCCGATAAGACGCACGCAACACGTGAAAAAAAAGTATTTGCACGAAATTCGAAAGTGTAGACTATTGCGAGACTTACATTTAAAATATATTACTTTTAACAGTTATTGCCATTGAACTACTAGCTGCTTGCCAGGGACTTGAATTCTTGAAACCTTATAAGACTACTAAACCATTACAGGCTGTTTATGACTTGGTGCGTACAGTGGCTAAGTAAGTATTGCCTTCATTATTGTGTTTTGCTCCGATGATTTATTTGAGCGGTGTGGTGTCCGTTGGATAAGAAAACGTGACATAATGGTCCATTGAAAATACTAATATTCGATAACAGCATAAGTAAGAACAATATAGCACTGGCACAAAGCAAGAGAATGTGGGCCAGCTTAATACAACGTCGAGATATAAAGCAGGAGCGACAAACACACCGAGGTCAAAGGTTACGGTTTCGTTGTGAATCGATCACAACATTCTGCCATTATAACTATGCCTGGAAAACGCTAGAATCTCGGTTGCCTGCTCATGTGATAATTAGTTTTAATATTCAAGAAATTTGCCTTGTATATATCCTGACTTCATCAATTGTCATTAATAAGTATTAGTAATAATGAGTTTCCATGTTTGTCACCAGACCTTGGGTTAAAGATCGTTTCATGGCTCCTGACATTAATGCTGTCACAAAACTTCTGCAAGAAGAAAAGGTAATGTATTATCACTGACAATGACAATGAATTACTCATACATACACACAATGTAAATTTATTTACGTATTTATTTATAGTCCATTCATAAATGAGTTCATGCGCGAAATGTACATTAAAGTGGCTATACGGTATTTGAAAGCACGTGAGTGAACGGTGTCATGGTAATCATGAGAACAGACAGTAGATAAGATGACTTGTTTGCGCAGCTTCTCGGGAATACAGCACTTGTCTTTTGCTTGGACGGGTTAGACCGTGACATAAGCCACATATCGTTTGCGGAGACAAAAAAATAGTATTTGCATTTTTTGTAAAAAGTCACAAGTAAATAATTGCCATATATGTAGTAAAATGTCGAATGTGTTTTTTTTTAGATATGGGCGTGTGTGGAGCCATATATCCAACATTACAATAAAACTATGGGTTGAACTGGCGTCATCAACGCCGACCTTTGTGAATGACGTCATAATGCGTACATGTAGGAAGCGAAGACGTTATCGTGCTATATAAATAATATGCTATTGTTAAACTATTTGATTAATACATTCTGTAATATATATATATGGCTAATGAGATTTTAAATGAACAGAAATATGTTAATTAATTTGATTTGATGTGAAACCGTATACATGGTGAGATTTCAACAAAACAATGTATTTGTGTGTGCTTTGTGAATGTAAACAGATCAACCGATAGATTTAATATTAAAATATATTTACATATTATATACATAACTAAATCCGGATAAAGCAGTTATTGTGTTATTTTTGGAACTAAACATTATCAATGTAAAATATCAAATTATGTGATACCAAGATGGCTAATGCATTTGTTTAACATAAATGGCTAACATTTAACGTGCTGATCTGATGCCAGATGTGTTGGTGGCGTATATTAAGCTTGTTGTTGATATTAAATATATGTTTGTGTCACAGTAAATGGAAAGATCGCTATTGCTGATCGGTAAGTGATTTGTTATCGGACTTTCGCATGCCGGTTTGCAAAAATGTAAACATATGACAGTGCGACGGTCTGTACTTGAGCAAATTGTAATTTGTAATTTTAAATGTTATCTGAATAAAATACGATATTTAAAGTGCATATTATGTGTCTTTGATATGATTATTTCTTCTACAATTGGAATTTGGTGACTACATGTACGTGATATACTACAAACCAAGGCCAGGTGAGGGTATCTGTAATGTGTAGAAACTATTACAAAGGACGTGTTTTACAAATGTATTGCTGAATGGAACACAAAGAATTGAGGTGATATTAATAGGGAGCTCCCAGAACCCTATACTTATATAGAGATTATGTTACGCCTGTTTACTCTGGTAACCAAGGAACCGGCCCACAGATTGACCCAGAGACGTTACACTGAATGTATGTTGCAGTCTAATTCCGGCCACCTTTTTTCTCTGTGTTTGCGACTTACAACCGCGCATGTTTTATGGCCGTGTTATCATGTAAATGTATAGGCGTGCACATGTACATGTAGCTTGGTTACGGGATTACTTTCAATATTCTGAATACATACGCGTACAAAATGGCGTTCAATGGTGTTCTGACCATTACCCAGAACGAGCTATACCACGTACAACGATCGTAATATCGCACAAGAAGTTGAATATTGGTTAACAAAGTTTGATGACAATGTTTGATGACAGTGATGTCAAGGCTTCGAAATAGGTGAGTATCACATGACGCAATCAAACTTAATAAGGGTGACCTCGGTCAATTCCAGAGGGGTTACATCAATTCTACATGTATGTTAACTACATGTATGTTGTTATTGGACAATATATCTTTCCATTATTATCATAAACTGATCATTATCAAATACATCGACTACTATAGCCGCGAAAGCTTAAATGCATATTGAATATGTCATGTTTTAGTAACAATTAGCACTTTTTATTGGCACCCCTACCGCAATCATTTGCCCAGTTAGCATTGTTTCAGTAGTTCAATTTGCGGATGGTGATGTCGATTGTATATTAAATGCGACAATTGACACACATTTCAACTGACAAGATGTATGCAGTTTATTTCTACTGACAAGTTAGACACAGTCTGTAAATACTACCGATAAGCTAGTAAACTTATGAGTTAAAACACAGTACATACTACTAATTAGTTGAGCACAGTACGTACTACTGACAAGTTTAACACAAGTACTAGTTAAACACAGTTCATCTTAGTGTTATATTCAGTGAATACATGATTTTTCAACTGAATATACTTAGACTTCCGGCTTCAGACTAGGCTAGGTACTAGTTGGAGATGACGTTAGAAACATCGTTTTCAAGTGTGGGAAATTGTTTTTTGCAAATTTTAAATTTGGTTATTAAAATGTAAATTACGCAACCCCTCAGATGTCATCTTAATTTATATCATAACAATGCTGTTGTTTTTTTTCAAATTAGTAAAGGATATTTGGATTTCATAGTATACATGGAGTGATGTCAGGTGTTTGAAATGAGTGAGCACATCCTTCTCTACATGTGGCATGCCATATATCATTCTGAGTCATAATCAGATGGGTTTTTTTTTAAACTTAATTAGTGATACTGCTGCCATTTAAGGTCGTCTTTATAAGAGGGTTATTGTATTTACCCGAAAGCTCATTATATCTGTCTAATCATTTGAGTGTTTAGGCCAGCCGTTCTCTACAAAGCCTTGTCTTAACAGTTTTGGCAAAAGACGACACTGTATTTTTAACTTAAAAATCTGCATATGTATTAGAAGCACATATATCGCTAATATGCACCCTATAGGAGGGAGAGATTTTGACATTGCTGCAAAATGTGACAAATTAATGATGGTAAAATTATACGTGTGAAACGGAAGAAGCAGATTATGTATTCTTCGTAAAGGGGAAGTCGGGTCAAATAGCATAATATTATCAGATGAAAAAGAGCTCCCCAAATGCAGGGGAAAACCATTTACTGTTTTTTTATATCATTTTTCGTCTTATAAATATTCAACTTTTGAATCAGTATGGAAATATGAGTATACCATCACCACTTTTGCAAGATGATTTTATTCATAACTTGAGAAATATGTCATGAATTTGTTTTTGCGTATCTGTTGACCGACTTAATTAGCTGATTATTAGCGAATTGCTGTGTTATGTCTGTCATCGTTTAGGCCTATTTGAAGTTTTGGACGGAACTTGGCTCAGTGATTTGGAACTAATTACGAGATAACCGCCGCTATTCTGACAGTTGGTTTCCGTAGTTATTAATGTAGTGAACGATTAATCAAAAGATATGACGTATTCAGTGCTTAGTGTGATTGGCTTTATGATTGAAGGTTACGCCTTAGAGTCTTTTTACTGCTTTGTAATTGGTTAGAGTTTTGAAAATGAATAAAGAGAGTTTTAGTTGGTCTTGGGGAGTACAGCAGAACAGACGCAGTCTTGGAGAGCCTTGGGGCGAGTGTTGACGCAGTCTAAGAGAGTCTTGGTTCAGCCTTGCAATAGTCTTGGGGACTTTTCCCCAGGGCGCTGTGTCTTATAGTGTGCTCGATTGACCGACTAAGACGAGAGTTGAAACGTATTTCGTTGTGTCTTATTTGACTGTAAAGTATAAGTGACTTTCCCGATCCCGTACCTCAAGGGGACGTGACATAGAGACGAGACGAGATTCCCCCCTGACAAGTGTGGAGAAACCCGAGAGTAAGAAAGATTTACCCCCGTGATAAATACGCGAATTAGTTCAAATTTTCAATGTGCATATTACTAGTGTATATAATTATAATACTAAAAATAAGAATGTTGCGAAACACATTTTTTTGGTTTTTCTCTACACATGATAAGGAATCATAAAAACTACTTCTCATTAATTCATCTCTGGTATCATCTAGTTCAATCTGAAGTCCGTTTAATTAGATACATTGCATTTCTATACGTGTCAGATACAGTATGTAACTGACTACCAGTATTCAAATGTAGTACATAAAATGTGCTTAGTTTGTTGTCTCGCCATCTGTTTAATCAAAATTACCAAAATAATTAATGTGCGTGACTGCCGTAGGTAATACATTGAATTAACATAGTTAGTCATGTGACCTGATTGGCTGTTCCGGGTGAGCCGCATTCACTGTGAATAATATCTGAGTTTGTACTTTTCTAATATTCTGAACGCCATTATTTGTTTGTGTACCAACACTTGATAATGAAGACTCTAACAGTACTGGGTGTGTGTACAACAAGCTTTTTATTCTCGTTACCATACTGATATAAATATGAACGATCAATACTAGTCTTGTAAGACATTTTGTGCCTAATAGACAGCTATAAATATCAGTTTTGTATAACACTGAGTGTCCAATATACAGTTATAAATACTATAATGTACGACATTATAGTAGATTCCAATATATAACTTAGTGGGCTTAACAGAATTAGATGAATTTAAAATTAATATAAATATAAATGTTGTATAAAACAATAACATATTTGCAAGAGTGTGAATATCACATTCTAGTGTTACGTAACAAATCCCACTGACACATGGTAACCGCTGAATTTAACATATGGTTCGTCGTTTATATGACATGTGTTCTTGAGATTTTATACTTAAATACAGTAAACATCGGCAAAACGTAACATGTGGGTCACGCAGTATTGCAGAATTAAACACGACAATACCACTGTCCAATTGAGGTAGTCAGGTCTCAAGACATAAATACAACACAATTACAAGCATTTTTTTTCAAAAAATTCTGTTGCCTCCCTGCCGACATTTCTATCCCAGTGAATAACAACACTTCTTTGATCAATGAGTAACCTTCCTGTGAGCGAGTCCCATTTTCCAGCGATTAGATAGTCATGATCCATCTTCAAAAGGGGACAAGTACATCCAATCTCGGTCCAAGAGATAGGATACAAACGAATAGCGCCCTCTGTGAGTTCAGCGTCTCCTCTTGTAGCGAGTACACGTTTGATGTTACCATTTACGACAACTTGACTTCCTTTGTCATCGGCTGACAGAATTTTAGCCCGTAGAACTAAACAAAGTATAAAAAAGAGCGTTCAATCATCAAGGTCATCGGGTCGCATAATTTCGAAACAGAGATTTTTCAAATTCATTAATAATAATAGGAATTATCTCCACAACTGGGCCAGACTAGTTTCATTCGATAAAGTGACAAATATTTAAAGCTAGAGGGTCGTCACCTGCGCACGCGCTAGAATGATAACACTTGCTTAGAACGCAAAGGCTCACGGGTAGACGCTTGTTTGTAAACAATGACACGCTATGGCCACCTGACACATGCGCAGGTAACGACTCCCCCGCTTTAATGAACACGTGGAATCAATAAATCATACCATAATCGAATTGACATAAATCAATGTCTCCTAATTGTTGTTCAGGACAATCACAGCCATCATATCCTGCAAAAAGATCAATAAACACATGCGTTAGATGTGTAAATACCGGAAAAACATATGTTTGAGACGACATGTCATTGACACGAGCAGTAAGTGAGACATCCACCGAATTTGACGTGACCTTTGACTGGAAGAACTTTTATCCCAGTTGCATATATGTTATACTAGAAAATCTAAGCAGCGTAGTGTCCAATAACAGTCTATATATATATATATATATATATATATATATGATTTATATATATGATTTATTTTCACCAATAATAACAATTCTAGTAATCTTATATTAATAATAATAATAATAATAATAATAATAATAATAATAATTTCTTGGTGTGGACCACGGAGGTAGTTCATCCGAACTAATCTAGTCTGTGGCCCAATCCTAACCAATATACATTTCTATGCAGGCTATATACTTGCACACACATACATACATACACATACAAACAAACAAAAAACTAAATCTCCAGAAATAAATAAGTAAAATAATAATAATAAAAAAAATGAGAGAAAAAAAGAAAGAAAAAAAATGGAGCTGTTAATGCGCTACTCTGCACATCATATTATTAGTGGAACAATCGTG